AAAAAAATATTCAGATTACAATTTTTTTTACCCGGGACGTCTAGTTATGTACATTACATCAAAAGTCAATTGATGTTTAATAATTATGCACTGCGATACTTTAATTTTTGGAGAATATGTGACTCGAAAGTCCAACTATCAGGAAGTAATTTTTACTGCACTTGTAGTTTAGTATTAATCATTAATAATGCAAGAAACACAAGTAAAATAATCTACTACGACATTCGAAAATTGTTAGGCATATTGACGAAAATTAGAGTCTTTACGATTTTTTGTATACACAATAATAATTTTTGAGTAATGTTCTTGAAATGGACGTATACTGGCATACTGGAACTGTAGGACATTGTGATAAATTCAATTTTAATAACGAAGAAAATAAAATTAAGAGTTATGAGTATGAGAAACATTTAACTTAAGTAATTATTATTCAGAAGGAATTAATGATCGCTTAAAAAATTGATATTAATCCATTATAATCAATCAATCATTTGCAGTGAAGTTATAGCATATTCCATATAAGATTTTTTTTATCTTCTTTGTAATCAACTGAAAATATTATGAGGAATATCAATGAAATGACTGTTCATTTTTTTTTCTCAAAGCATTCTTGTTCAAGTCAAAAGATGATGGAACTAACCCTACTATTTTCCAATTTTTAGAACAGTGAAATTGACTTTGATATCGGATAACACTAGCCTCCCTCTATTTTCCGTTGATGCCTTGTCGCCCCTATTAGGGGTGGGCTAAGAGGGAGGATTATTAATAGTACGAAAAATTAATTACCTTTCGACATGTTTTCCTTATCATGAACGCAGAGATACGTAAATGAAGTTCACCTGAGTCGAAATTCGTAAAATTGATTACCTATTGGTCAATTCGAATCCGAAGTCGAAATACGAATTCGACGCACGGAGTGCGCAGTATCGCGCGTAAATAATGGAGCTATCAGTGATAGTATGAATGAAACAATTTCATAACGAACCAACTTCACCTGATTGCATTATAATTAGATATTCAATTGAGCACTTTATCACATGATCAGATGAAAAATATTTAATTGAATATAAACACAATTTAGACACATTTCCATGTATTCGAATAAATATTATAAAGGAAAAAAGGTGGAAACAATAAAATTTGAGAAACTACAAGCCGTTCGGAAGCATGTTGTTAATTTTTTAGCAACACTAGCTATACGCAGTTCTTTATAATGCAAGTCCCCACTTGTTTATCAGTGTGTCGTTGTCTCTACCGACATAATAATAATTGTTTGAAATGTTTTGCGAAATTGCAGATGTTATGTAGTCAATGGCACGGGAATTATGTCATATATATAAGATAAGAAGACAATTTTGCATGTGAGTCAAACGGTCAAACCTTAAGTTTTCAGTTAAAGAATTTGAAATATCGTAAGCATTCTAATTCACAAGGGCCAAATGTGATGCCCCCATGAAAAGAAAAGGGTAACGTTGTTCGTCAGCGATCTATTTCTACAATGTAAAATATTTATACTATAATATTAATACTATATATATGTGCATAGTATATATCTTATATATATCGTATATTACGTATATCTTATATAGTATATATCCAGAGACTGCCAATACACGAGCGACATGATAATTATCGAAGATTATCGACGAAAAACATTATTACCAAATTATATTTTAGGTAATAGGTAAGTATAGCTAGTACATCTAACTTCTAAATTTTTCTGAGCTATTATTCACTTTGATAGCTAGTAAAAACAAAAGAAAGGGGAAAAAATTTAGTCGGACACAATTAGGTATGTACCTAGAGGGAGTAGACCGATCCAAGTTGATCTTTGGTTGGGTTCATACGAGTTCGTGTCTCTGTCACGAATCCTGGGTTGCGCTAAGTGCTGGTAAAGCTTCATACTTTCTGAAAAAAATGCTTCACTACACGTTGAATTTATTGTGAATAAACTCCAAATAATACTTTATTTAAATTAAAATAAACTGCTTTTAGACAGAAAAGCTACATGAGCATGCACAAAAATATGTGAGATGACTTAAAGATATTCGATTCATTAACAACTATTTAGCTCCTAGACGAAGAATATTTATTT